TGACTCCAGGGTGCCCACTTTGTTGGTGGACTGCTTTGATTTGATTAAATCGAACGGGACTCACGGACGCAGCGCAGGCTGGTTGCACGGGCTCAATGGCTTTCTTTAGCGGCGTCAAGCCACCTTTGCGGCACCCTCGTTAAACAATCTGCTTTGTTGAGGCTAGATTTGACCAGGGACACCCCATTGTCAGTGCGTACTCTTGCACTAAATTCACGATCGTGTCGAGCCGTCGTCGGATAAGCATCTCGCTGGTGGCTTTAGTCCGCACCCTGGCCCCTCCCGGTCAAGGTATCAGAGATCCACTTATAAACGCAAGCGGAATCAGTGAACAGACGCAGGGTGGTCGACTTCCAGAGGATCGCCAAGTTGATCCCTTGATGACAGCATCGAGCCCGCCAGGTTTATGTGCTGGGAGTCCCTTTCTGACGTAACCAGCAAGCATCTTCTACCACGGCTCCATCGTGAACTATCGATACGCCGGTTGCAAGAGAGCTTGCGTCAACCCACACACAGAGGTCTTGGCTGTCAACGCACCATCTGCCCCGCGCTGGGTCTTCCTTGCGTACTCTAGCGAGGACCTCCTTCATCATGGTGTTGAGAGGGGCGTCGAACTTCGTCATCCCATCCAGTGGTGACGTCAGATGCTCTCCGCTTGATAAACGCCACCGCAACACGCAGCCAGCCACCTACAGGAAGGTGTCCAACTAACTTGCCGCACAAGGAAAATATGCTTCGCCGCGTGACAACAGAGGGCATGTCTGGGAGTTCGTTTCCCCGTTTCCAATACAGGACGTTATCTTCTCCCAGACCTGCAAACCAAGCACCCGTGCACCATCCTGTAGTCTCCGGTTCCTTGCTGAGGAGGCCAAAGTTGTAGAGATGCTCTTTCACGCGCGCCGCAGATACGACTCCCTCGTTCACGTACACGTCATCAATATATGCAGATGTTGCCCGCTGTATGCGCTCATCCTTCGTTAGAATGGCGTCAACAATCATCTGCATAATCGATGGCGCCACATTGAGTCCAAACCCCATGCGGGTCAGGCAATACCGTTGCCCCTTGATAAGCACGGTTTGATAGGGCCACAGTGATTGGTGCACACGCACTTGAAGGTATGCCTTGCGAAGATCCAGCACAGATACATTTGATCCTGCTTTGTCGCCATTCCCCTTTAGCTTCGGTACACACGTCCGCGCGGGCAGTAAAAAGGGTCCACGTGCTCGTTCAGTTCTCGATAGTCGAGCACCGGCCTCACCTTTTGTTTGTTGTGCTGGAGAACCGCCATTAGTGGGATCAGACCCTTTGGGGGCCCCCAATTCCTTCTCTGGATAAGGAACCAACCACCCGTTATTAATCCAGGCTCGTAATTCCTTGTCGTACCCGCACGAGCTCGCGGGGGATCTTATACTCCGGCACACTGTTGTACAGCTTCTGGCGGTTGATCGTCTGACCATTTCCAAGATACCGTCCAGGACTTTTGTGCGCTGGTCGAACTCCGCACGAAAGTCAGGCCGTTCCAGCTCCATTGCTGCACCTAGAGCTAGACCTGTTTGCGTGAAACGCGCCCGACCCTCTTCGTCAACACGAACACCACCCAATTTTTTGATGACGTCCATTCCCAGGAGCAGATCATAGCCGAGCAGCCCTCCGTCCACGACCAGGGCTTGTACAGCTACTGCAGGCCCATCGCCGATGCTTGCGCGGATGACGCTCACTCCACAAGAGGTTAGCGAGCCCCGCCAACAGTCAGAACTGAATATTTTTCTTGTCCCACGTGTCACAACATGCCTTGCGCACAAGGGTCTGGGTGCACCTGGTGTCAACAAGCGCGAAGCGCTCACGCCTGTTAATCCGCACGCTCACTGCGGGTAGCGCCTTGTTCAGCGGCGATCTGGGGAGAAGACTGGCGCTGTAGCTTACCCCCTTGCCCGTTTCCCTGACAGCTTCTTGCTACGTGGCCCAGCTTGTCGCACCTGTAGCAACGCATACGTCTCCGTATCCTTCGCACGGCTTCGGCAGTCTTTGGAGAAGTGGTTCAGTCCGCCACACTTATAGCACCTTATGTCCTCAGTTGGCGGTGCGGGTGCTTCCACAGCTGCTGAGGCCGGCTCCGCGTCATCTTTTAGAATATTCCGGGCTCTGGCCAGTAATTCGTCTAGCCCCAGCTCATTGAGCCTGACGATGCTCGTAGCAGTCGACTTGCGTTGTCTGGGGAGTCCTGCCAGAAAGGCGCATCCTAGGATTTGGTCGCTTGCTCCACCGAACGGTGCGGCCAGCTTCCTCAAATCGGCCAGAAAGACATCTACTGTTTCATCCGGTCCAAGCCGTCGTTCGGTAAACTGCCTCCAGGCGACAAAGGGGTCCGCACCAAATGCTGCGTATAGAGCTTGTTTTATTTCCTCCAAGTCTGCGTCATCCCTTAGCTGCTGATACACAGCGTAAGCTCCTTTGGTGAGTCTAAGAGGGATAACCAGTGCGGGATCTTTTAATTTTACACAGCCGGCAGACCTGCTCGGCCTTTTCCCACCACTCGACCACAGACGGGCCAGCGGGGAGCCGTCGAACTCTGGTATTAACTTCAAGTCGAATCTGTCCATGCTGTAATAATTGCCGAAATAGCTTGTAGCAAATGAGTCGACTTAAACAGTGTAAGGGACGCAACTCTTCCGTCTGAAAATGTCTTGCAACGCAAAACGATGTACACCAAGCACGGGTGAAAATGTTGGTCTGCCAATGTCTCCAAGCAACCTGCTTTTATGGAGCCCAGACACACCTCATTAGCATGTGTGTAACGCGACTTTGCGTGACTGCACGAGACCGTGAATATTAAAAGTCACGGACGCCATTTTGAATCTTTTCTTTCCTTTCTCAACCCACAGGCCAGGAAGATGCGAGAACGTTTGCGAGGTAGGCCGTTTCTATTTTCCCCACACATATATCACATTTTTATTGCCTCAAAGCTCACAACAAAACTAACTTTCGGCATTAAATGACCCATAAGGAGGTAATATGCCGTTGAACATTTCATTTTCACAGATATACAGGGTGTGATTGATAAATTGTCCCAATGAAACAAAAATGAAAAAATAACTCTGACATCTTATTTTCACAGATATATTTACCAAAAATACACACAAATATCTGGAAATACTAAAGAATAAATTTATTCAATAAAATCGCCATTGGCTTCAACCATCGTCTCCAGACGACTTCAGAATCTACAGCAACTCTTCTGGACGGTCTCCTTGTTTAAGTTAGTGAATGCTGCCATAATCCTTGCCTTCAGTTCATCTTTGTTTTGTTGGTCTCTTGCTCAACACATAATAATCAAGGGTGTTGCAAGTCTGGGGCGTTAGATGGCCAGATGTAAAGGTTTATGTAATCTCAGAAATTGTCTGACAGCCATGACTGGGTTGTCCTTCTTGTGTGACATGGAGCAGAGTCCTGTTACCAGACATAGAGTCTTCGAGCAGCCACCCTCTTGATCCAGGTTAATACAACATCCTCAGGGCACTTGATGTTGGCCTTCGTGTTGAGTTTATGGGAATATGAACGTAGGCATAATGTCACCATCAGTAGTGACCACTCCAAACATCTTCTCAATCACCATTAGACTCATCTAAATCCTCTGAACTGTCCTCAGATTGACACCCAAAGACTCTGAAATATTCGTATTGGAGCATCCGGAGCGAATGTCAAGCAACAGTTTCTGGTGGATTGAATTGCATCATGGTGCTCTTTTTCTCACAGACCGTTCCCAACTGACCCTACTATACTGTGCAGTCAACAAAATAAAAAATAAACAATGCGCATGCCCGAAATTAAACATATAAAATTGCGATAATTTACCCATCGCAGCCTGTATAAGCTTGATATATTTGGTAAATATATTAGAATAACCGATACTAGAAGTATTTACACAAGATAAATGCTTACAGAATAAGAGGCACTAAACGCAAGGGACAACCGGAAGTCAGAGAAAAAAAACTTTAGAATTAACCGGAAACCCCATCCTAAACCGAAAACAAGGGATACGCCTCAAAAAGACCGTTCAAAAAACCGGGAAGGTCTAGAACCGGGCGTTAGGCCAACCAATCTACACCTATTAAAAGTTAAATCAATAGAAAAATAAAAAAGTTCAGAGTTGTAGGCGATGTTAGAAGCATAGAGTTGAAGTAGACGTCAGAAAGAACCGGAAATCCAATCCTAAACATGAGAAAGGAATAAACTTCTACTCCTGTTCAAAAGATCAGGGAGGAGTGTGATCCAGGCGATAGGCAAACCTATCTACTCCTACTAAGAAAAAAAAAAGTAAATTTGAAGTAGACCGTCTGTATCTTCTTTTTCTATATGCCGTGTCCCTTCAGGCATACAGAAGTACAAGACCAGATGCGACAGCAATATTCGATGCACGGACGAATAGTAGATTTATAAGTAAGAAGCCGGATTTCCACAAGCGAGAGAAGAAGCTATCAGAATAGAACTTACGGCTTCATCTAGCTATTTCAACAGTAAAATGAGACCTAGTTGCCAATCTAGCACTACCTTTTACCAACCAATTACACAGGCCCGTTAGGTAGGAGTTTTTGAGGAGCGTGGAACCATCTCTTAATTGTTGGTGTTCGCAGGTGCACACTGACCTGGGGTGGTAGTACTGTACTACTGTACTGATGCGGCATTCCCCCTGGGCGGATTGAGTCGGCTTCTTCCTGTTATGAGAAGAAGATTCTTGGGACAAATTACAGAAGTAGGGTAACGGATAACGTTCTTGCTTGCCGCGGGGTTCCCACAGACGCAGAGACAGGAACGACCAGAAGCCGCCGGTTACCGATGCAGACGCTCCTTGGATTTTCACCAGAGCCCTTGTTAGCCGGCGTGTGTGTCAGACCTGTCCGCCTTGGGTGGCCCTACCAGGAACGAAGTTCCGAACGGCATAGCTCTGACACTACTGTTTACACCCCCCACCGACTGTGAGGTAAGGGTTGGACTTTGGGGGCTTACAGTACCAGGTGTTCCCAAGCGGTCCCCCATCTAAGTACTGACCTGGCTCTACGCTGCTTAACTTCGGTGGTAGCAGGGTGGTAGCACCTGTTAGGGTCCCAGCTATGGGCAAATAGTTGACCCCCCCCAAAAAAAAAACTGGGGTCAAAACACTATGAAAGTGTAAAAATAGGTTTTAATACTAGCAATACTTTTTTGTTAAAAATTATTACTAGCAATGAATTTTTGAAGGAAAAAAATATTATCAGCAATACATTATTACCAGCAGTACATTTTTGAAAAAGATATTTGTTGTGGATCCCGGGATGAAATCCGGTCTCAAATGAATGACAATCGCAGGAATGAAATATAACAAATAAATGTATTTACACAATAATACACTTGGTAATACGGTTAGTAGATCCAGAAACACGGTTAGTAGCAATAATAATATATATACACAGTCGATTAAATTCAGTCTCGACGTAGGACTTCCTTAGAGTCTACGTGCTTGTTAACTGTGACTTCTACAAGCGGTTACCTCACACTATTACTCTACCTCCAACTCAATCAGAATCTCTGCTCACTCAATTTCTGTATATTCTGATTGACTCTGGATATTTAACGGCAGCAGTCCAAGTAACACTCTGGTCGAGTCCACTTATATGAAAAAGGGGAGGACCCCATAACAATAATACCAGAAATATTTTTTAGAAAAAAATATCTCAAGCAATACATTTTTGAAAAAAAAAAATAATATCAGCTGTATATTTTAGAGGATAAAGAAAAGAATATTACCAGCAATATATTTTAAAAAAATATTACCAGTAATACATTTTAAAAAAAATATTACCAATACATTTTGGAAATAAAGCAGCCGTCTGGGTCCCAACTATGGGCAAAAAGTTAACCCCAAACTGGGGTCAAAACACTATGAAAGTGTAAAAATAGTTTTTTAATACCAGCATATATTTTTAAAGGAAAAAATATTACCAGCAATACAATTTGAAAAAAAAGCACCTGTTAAGGTCCCATCTATGGGCAAATAGTTAAACCCAAAACTGGGTTCAAACACTATGAAAGTGTAAAAATAGATTTTAATACCAGCAATACATTTTTCTAAAAAATTATTGTCAGCAATAAATTTTTTGAAGAAAAATTATTACCAGCAATATATTTTTGAAGGAAAAAATATGACCAACAATACATATTTGAAGGGAAAAAATATTACCAGCAATACGAATATTTTTCTCAAAAATAATAAGCAAAAAAAGGAGTGCCTATTATACACAACTATAACAGAAATCATTAAAAATTCCCCTAAAATATAAAGAATTATCATAAAACTAAAATTAGAATAATATTATTCTGTTTAAAACAATTTTTAAATAAGAGGAGAAAACACTGGCCTTAATGAAATTGGTGAGGTACAATTTATAGGGTTTGATTACCAAACAAGTGGTGCGTATTATGCATACGTAGAATCATTTTCCCACACTTTCAGTACAATTTTAGGGGTGCGTGGTATGGATGAAGGCGTATTATACATGGGGAATTACGGTAAATAAAACTAAAAAGTCATTTATGTTGTTTACGTTCAAGCTAGTGTATAAAGTGACTGATGTCGAGATGCCAGGTCAGGATCTATAGAATTGCAGATGCTTCTCTGGATTTTGTCAAGAATCTTTAGATATATTACAGAAACAGCAGGTCAGTGATATTCAATGCACGGACGAATGGGAGATAGTCAAATGTGCAACGTAGATTCTGACAAGAAAAAATGAATGGCAAGACTCGGTGAACCAATTTTCTTAGCAGCCGACCTAGCAATGGATTCAATATAATCACTCAACTTCATGTCAGTAGAAAACCTGAGACCAAGAAGGCACAATGAGTTGCTCTCTTGAAGGTTAGCATTGGCCATGCTGATGGAAGGCAAAAATGATTCTTTGTGATGATTAAAAGATGGCAGTTTCTAACACCTGACTTACACCCAGGTACAAATGGTAGATTTATAAATGTGTATGATGGATTCTGGTGAAAGAATTTTGTCTGGCACAACACAGTGAAGCAATTTTTTTAGCAGCCGACCTAGCAATGGATTCAATATAATCACTCCACTTCATGTCAGTAGAAAACCTGAGACCAAGAAGGTACAATGAGCTGCTGCGTACAGCCACATCACGTTCAAATATCAGTCCCCGTAAGATCTCCAAAGTTAAGCAACGTTCATGAGATTCAGAGAAAAATTCCAACTCGTCCTATAATGTTATTTATTATTTACCATTATTTACTATTATTATTTGTCATGCCAGTAAGCGGTCTTTTTACTTACTATACATTCACAATATTTTCTATACTATTAAAATCCATTCATGTATCCTCTTGGGCTCATGTGTGATGTCAGGGCGATTGCTCTCCAAACGCTTGTCGATTTAAGATGCTAGTATTGCACATGAACAACCCGTGCTATAACAAAACCTTTATTATTATTATTATCATTATTATTGATGATGTTGATTATTATTATTTTTGTTATTATTGATTATGATTATTATTATTATTATTATTATTGATTATTATTATTAATAATGATTATTATTATTATTATTTTTATTGATTATGATGATTATTATTATTATTGATTATTATTATTATTGATTATTATTATTATTAATAATGATTATTATTATTATTATTATTTTTATTGATTATGATGATTATTATTATTATTGATTATTATTATTAATAATGATGATGATTATTATTATTTTTTATTAATTATTATGATTATTATTATTATTGATTATTATTATTAATAATGATGATTATTATTATTAATATTATTTTTATTGATTATGATGATTATTATTAGTGATTATTATTATTATTGATGATGATGGTTATTATTATTTTATTGATTATGATATTGATTATTATTATTGATTATTATTATTTTATTGATTATGATTATCATTATTCATTATTATTCTTGATTATTATTATTGATGAGTATTATTATTATTTTTATTGATTATTATTATTATTATTTATTGATTATTATTATTATTATTATTTCACCTATTCTTGCAGTCTCACGGCCGTGTCACGTTGAAACACCACTTCCTGTACGATCACCGAAATTAAGCAACATCATGCCTGGTTATTAACTAGAGTGGTGACAGCTTGGGAATCCCAGGTGTTTGCAAGCTTAGATGTGTGTGTATTCTAATAGATAATGTCTCGGAATTGTCAATCGGAGAGCCGAGTTCCAATTCCAGTCTAGTTCGTTATATTCACTTGCACGCAAATACCCTTCGGAAAGGAATGAATTCACTTCTTCTCCCACTCCCCCCAGTTATGGGTTAATTTCTAAGACTTGTATCATTAAACCATTATTATCTCAAAAAGAATTCCTACAATCAAAAATGTTTTCTGGCATCCCTGGAAAGAGTTGACAAGCCGTAATAAGCGAATCAGTCGATAAAACAGAGATAATCCCGAGTACGCTTTACAGCAAAATGGATGACACGACCTGCCATTTTGTATATTTCTCCAATTTACCACTCCAGCTCTTGGCACGCTGTATTTTCACCTGCTCTACCTTCACGATATTGTTATCCTTTTTTTATTATATAGGAATAAAGTGTCGCTTCCGACAGTGTTGCTTGAACACAGATCACCAGATAGAAAACACAGGCGATTCCATTTTAAATAAGTTGTTGAGATGTTGTGAGTTTCCCGCGTGTGGGTGTATGAATCAAGACAAACACAGTTGTAGAGGAAAATACTGGTATATTCATAAACGCAATTAACAATAGAGTGATTAGTAGAACGAAGGTTGGTTAGTACGAAACAATATCCAAAGTCTATAGTCCAACGGTATGTACCGGGTAAGCTTATCTGGACTGCTGACGCTCTGTCTCTCGTCCTCTCTCTAGAGCTGACTTATATAAGAGGGACCAGTCCATTTCTAGTTAGAAGGTGGGAGCGCCCCAACATAAGTAGATCACGTGATGGTAAAGGAAAAGTATATATTGGAATTAGCGTGGCGTCTAAATGATCATCATTTCTATTCTATCCTCTATTACTATACGGATCACTCTTTCTACCCTATCCTCTCTCTCTATTCTATTCACTATACTATTTCTCTCTACTGATCACTATACGGATTACTATTCGGACCACTATTCGGTGGTTACTATTCGAGCGAGTATTATCGAGCAAGTACTATTAGTCCGAGTGTTATTGGAAGGCGTCTGACTCAAGTATTGTTCAACGGCATTACTATATTTGTATCTGTGATTACAAAGTCTCTACTACAAAGAGCATTACAAAAGCGACAACGAGTATTCATTGACATTACAAAAGTGGCAACGAGTGTTCGTTGACATCACAAAATATTAAGATCCATCAATGGATGCTCTTGTGCACGTGTGTGATCTCAGGGTGATTTATCTGCATACGCTTGTCAATTTAATCCAATCAATCCTATCAAATCGTGAAATAAGGGTCATTCTGAACAGGTTCTCTTTCATACGAATACAGGTGTTCCCCAAGGCTCTATTCTGGCTCCTACACTGTTTTTGATCTTCATCAATGATCTTGTCATCAGTTCCCAAGTAGGCGTCTATGCAGACGACACTACCATTTACTCCTGTCTCAATAGTAAATCTGGTAGCGCTGACAAAGTTAAAGTGGACGCTGCTTTCGAAAACACCTCCAATCAGTGGTTAAGTGGGGTAAGAAATGGCTTGTAAATTTTAATACCTCCCAAACTAAACTGCTCTCATTTAACCACCATAGAGAAACTTCCCTGCCCGCCATCAGCATGGCTGATACTCGACTCCGGCGCCTTCTTGGCCTCACGTTTTCGACAGACTTGAAGTGAAACTACATTGAATCAATAGCTGCATCTACTGCAAGGAAAGTCGATTCACCTGTCGTGCCAAAAGGTTTTTCTTGTCAGTGTCCATCTTACACATCTACAAGCCCCTTAGAATAGTTAAGGGAGCTAAATTTTTCATGTGGGACGTACTGTTGCCCACATCAGAAGACTGCGTCGCCGCGGCTAGCCGCGAGCTAATAAACA